CGTCCGTCGTCCGTCGTCGTCGTCGTCGTCGTCGTCGTCGGCCGTCGTCGTCGTCGTCGTCGTCGACGTTGTCGTCGTCGTCGTCGTCGGTCGTCGTCCGTCGTCGTCGTCGTCGTCGTCGTCGTCGTCGTCGTCGTCGTCGTCGTCGTTTCCAAGTGCTCCGGAGGGCCTCGGAGGGCCTTTGACGCTTCCAGAGGCCTCGGGAGACCTTCAGAGGAGGCCGTCGTCGTCGTCGTCGTCGTCGTCGTCGTCGTCGTCGTCGTCGTCATCGTCGTCGTCTTGGTTGTCGTCGTCGTCGTCGTCGTCGTCGTCGCAGTCGCCGTTGCCGTCGCCGTCGCCGTCGCCGTCGCCGTCGCCGCCGCCGTCGCCGTCGCCGTCGCCGTCGCCGTCGTGGTCGTGGTCGTGGTCGTGGTCGTGGTCGTGGTCGTGGTCGTGGTCGTGGTCGTGGTCGTGGTCGTGGTCGTGGTCGTGGTTCGTGGTCGTCGTCGCGTCGTCGTCGTCGTGGTCGTCGTCGTTGTGTCGTCGTCGTCCGTCGTCCGTCGTCCGTCTCGTCCGTCGTCTTGTGGTATTCGTCCGGGTCGCCGTCGTCTGGTCGTCGTGGTAGTCCGTCGTGTCGTGCTCTGGTCGTGGTCCGTGGTCGTGGTCGTCGTAGATCGTCGTCGTCGTCGGTCGTTAGTCGGCATCGTCGTCGTCCGTAGTCGTAGTTGTCGTCGTGGTCGTTGTCGGCGTAGTCCGTCGTACGTTGTCCGTGTTGTGTGTTGCTTGTTGCTTCGTTGTTGTAGTCCGTCGTGTCGTCAGTCGCATTTCGTTTTTTCTCGTCGTCGTCGTCGTCGTCGTCGTCGTCGTCGTCATCGTCGTCTGCCGTCAGCCGTCGGCCGTCGGCCGTCGGCCGTCGTCCGTCGTCCGTCGTCCGTCGTCCGTCGTCGTCGTCGTCGTCGTCGTCGTCGTCGTCGTCGTTTCCAAGGGCTTCGGTGGGCCTCGGAGAGCCTCCGAAGACCTCCTCAGGCGTTCGGAAACCTCGGGAGACCTTCAGAGGCGGCCGTCGTTGTCGTCGTCGTCGTCGTCGCCGTCGCCGTCGCCGTCGCCGTCGCCGTCGCCGTCGCCGTCGCCGTCGCCGTCGCCGTCGACGTCGCCGTCGCCGCCGCCGCCGCAGTCGCCGTCGCCGTCGCCGTCGCCGTGCCCGTCGTCGTCGTCGTCGTCGTCGTCGTCGTCGTCGTCGTCGTCGTCGTCCTCGGCCGTCGTCGTCGGTGTCGTCGTCGGCCGCTGTCGTCGTCGTCGTGGTCGTGGTCGTCGTCGTGGTCGTGGTCGTCGTCGTGGTGGTCGTCGTGGTCGTCGTCGTCTTCGTCGTCGTCGTCGTCGTCGTCGTCCGTCGTCCGTCGTCCGTCGTCGTCGTCGTCGTCGTCGTTTTCGTCGTCGTCGTCGGCCGTCGTCGTCGTCGTCGGCCACCTAAACTACCC